CCTTTTGAGGGCGTAGGGGAAGACGAGGGTCCTAATATAAGATGACAGGAGATTTGACTTCAGGTGGTGGGCACACGGTGCAATATACAGATCTTGTAACATATAAACCCACACATGAAACCTATATGTTCATGTTGACCAATGTCACCCCAATCAATTTAATAAATTAAATTTTTTAAAGGGCCTTTTCCGTGCCAGGAACAATACAAAGCACTTGAGAAAGAAGGAAGTTTTAAAGGAAAATAAGTTAATAGGATAGAGTTATCACTTTAAAGGGGACAGGAAGCCAGGCTGAAGATATGTGCCCACAGGAAGAGAAGTCAGTCACAGCCTTTACAAAGAGTAGCAATGAACGGTTCTCTTGAGTTCCCTGGCAGAGAACAATCACATGACTTAACTAAGCTCACACGTCACTGAAGCCGCCTGTAACCCAGCCCTGGGCACCTTCCGGCGCCCTGAGCCTAGCACAGCGAACTTAAGAACCCAAGCTTCGGAAGGAAACACACCCGGAATTAAACCCTGGGTTTACCTTTAATTAGCTTAGAACTAAACCCAGGTTTTCTCATGTGAATAAAAATAGGACTAAAAAACACTCATGGGAAAAGGAGGTTATTAAGATTAGAATATGTGCCCTGGTTTCCATTTTCAACAGGGACCACATTTTCTCTTCTCACTTGGAACTGAAATCCCAGACAAAGCAGACGAAACTATGGCTTTCAAGACGTTGGATGTCGGGCAATAAAGGACAAAGAGCCCTGAGAGAGGAGGCCAATGGGGAGAGCCTGGGACTGACCAGCTCGCTGCCCGAAGGGAGCTTCCTGGTCAACAATGAGCAGAAGACACACAGGTAGGAGTCCAGACAGATCAAGTCACCTGGGTTTGCAGGCCGAAGTCCCCTCCCGTACTCAGGGGGGGATTGTAAGGATTAGGGGAAGTTATCCCAAGGCCTCCCACAGTCAGGACAGTTCTCTCATCCTGAGAGGACAACCACATGTTTCCTGGGGCACTGGGTGGAGCACTCAGAATTCTTCCTAGGTAGCGGGACAAAATTAACCTTCCACTGTGCACTGTCCCATGTTTCTGGCTGAACTAAAGGTATCTGGAGGGGGCATGTGGCCCAGAAGCCATCCCATCTCTGGTTCTGTGGACTGAGCACCTTTAAGGCCGTGTGTGCATTTCCTGGAGCTACTGAAACAAATGTTACTGTAAATAAGGTGGCTTAAAGCAACAGAAATTGCTTCTCTCACAATGATGGAGGCCAGGAATCCACAGTCAAGGTCCTATCTTTGGATTTAGGGCTGCTTTGATCCAGGATGATTTTATCTTGGGCTCCTTAACTTAATTACACCTGCAAAGATCCTCCCCCTCCCCCCCGCAACATTTCTGCATAGCCTGGCTTCTGAGTTCCCTCTCCATCTCTTTATACTTTATGGTTTCTTCCTCAGCCTGACTCTTAAATCTTGCTGTGCTTTAGGAGTCTGGGCAAATATCCTTTAAGTCATTTTTAAAACTTACCTTTTAAAATTAA